AATATTTTAAATTCTATTCTGAATTTGACAGGGAGCCAGTGGAGAGAAGCTAAAACTGGAGAAATATGGTCTCTCCTTCCAACTCTCATTAAAACTCTAGCAGCAGCATTTTGGATCAACTGAAGACTTCTTAAAGAGTTTTTTGGATGCCCAGATAATAAAGAATTACAGTAATCCAGCCTAGATGTAATAAATGCATGAATCAGTTTTTCCGCGTCATTTTTGGACAAAATATTTCTAAGTTTAGTGATATTACGCAGGTGGATGAAGGCAGTCCTGGTAACATTTTTTATGTGGGGGTTAAAAGACATATCCTGATCAAAAATAACACCAAGGTTCTTTACATTAGAACTGGAGGCCTGATTAATGTCATCCAGAGGAGGTGAAAGGCTGCAAAGTACAATGCCAGCAGTAACTGTGCCCTAGTGTTTATTTGGCATGCTTTGAAAGCACTCATCTCCAGTCACAACTGTCCAMATTTTCATTTTTTCATTGTTACATTGCATGTTGTTGACCCTGGTTGCCCTCGTACTGATGAGAGGAGCGTCCTGTACTCTGTTGAATAAGTAGAATACTCTTACTTTCACCTGCCCTCAGACTTCTCATTAAATTGACTGTGGTGGGTAACAGCTCTTTTGGCAACTGTCTCAGCTCATTTGCCTCGTAGAACAAAGTGCACAAAGCACGTCAGTAGCCATTTGATCAAAACTTTATGAAAAGCACTAGCACCCTATTGCCCCAGGGAGTGACAGTAGATAGGAGCTCTGTATGGATGACTAGCCAAGTGTGGAAATCTCTCTATCACAGCTACATGACCATTTTTGGACTCTATTTATTCTCACTACCTCTTCTTTTAAATTTTCCATCCTTAATTTCCTTATTTGAAAAAGCTCCTACAAAGGATGACAATCCTATGAACAGAAAGCAACATTTCTTATCTGCACAGCCAGAGCTGCCCTGGTTGTGTTTTATTTACATTTAACTCAGTTCACCAAAGGATGCTGAAGACTGAATGATAAAACAAGATTTGTATCACACATAGAAAAATAAGAACAGACTTACAAGATCAGCAACATTGTTCTCCAAAATTAACTTTGGTATGCTTGCTCTATTTTGGTCTTCCTATGTTATTTTTGTTTTTAGCTACCATTCTGCTACTGTAAGTGGTTATCTACAATTCTATTACAGTTAGCTTTTAGCCACCCACGTAATTTACACGGGGGTTAGGGGG